TATAATTACTGTTCTATAGTTCATATTAAGAGTATAAATTCCTCGGCTAGCAAAATGACTCAAAGGGAAGAGCAACTGCTGTCAACACCAAGCCTGACAACTTGAACTCAGTCTCTAGATCAGTGATGTGGTTGAAAAGAAGGGACTCCCTCAACACATCCTTTGACCTGCACGGTCACAACGGTATGCCAGTACCAACAGACTTACACACAAATAACCATAATAACAAAAGAGAATAAGATTTTTGTAATATTACTTACAAAATTCTAGAAGTATAGTTAAGCCCACACATGTGGTTTTAGTGTAGGACTTTGCAACTCATCTTTCAAGGCCTCCAAGCATGAATATGTTGAAAATGAAAGACTTATAAAAGCTCATGTGGTCATTTAGGACTCAATCCAGATTTTCATATATTAATAGAACAGTGAATTAAACAAACAAACAAAAAAAGCTGTAGGAAAGGAGTTAAATGGTGCTTATAAACCACTTCAGGGCGTGGACTCAGGCGTTAGATTCAGCTTATGGTTGGTTATAACTGAATTTTATTTAATGAGGCATTAATTTCTATTTTTTAAACCATAAGCATGTTCTAGTTCTTTAGATGTATCATAAACTGTTACACATTGGACTTAATATTTATTTTAGAATTTAAAGGTTGGAATTTAGCCCTGTTGGCCGGTGAAATACTAAAACTATTGTAACACATTTATCACTCATCACTGACCCAGATTGTGTGTGTGTGTGTGTGTGTGTATTTCCAAGTATATACACGATGATGGCGGGGAAATGGAACTATTTATAACTTATTAAACAACCAACTGCTGGTACGCTTGAGCCTAAAGTGGTTTCTTAAAAGCTTTGCTGAATTGACTGCCTAGGATGAATCAATTTAATGCCATCCTATGAGTCTAGGAAATGAAAAGGCCTAGGGTTACTTTTAAATTACCAAAATTAGTTTCCTGTCTTAGCTGAGGTAAACAACAGTCTACCAAAAATTTTGTGACCAATAAAATTGGGGCTTATAGCTGCAAATGTTTTTTACTGGTGCACAGAGGAAAAATCCAGAAGTTAAAGCTAAGATAGGAAAGCCAGTCCATCCTGATAGTGAAAGCTTTAAATCCCAGTACTCCAGTACTGGGGAGGCTGAGGCAGGGGATCTCCGAATGCAAGGCCAGCATGGTCTACATAGTCACTTCCTGATTAGCCAGGGCTTCGAAGTGAGATTCAGACTCAAAAATAATACAGTCAAGTGATGGTTTTAACCCTCCCACTCTGCTCCCAGGTTTTTCTAAAAATGTAATTACTGTAATTATAGGGGTCGTTACCGAGAGGGTTATTCTGTTGGCTTTGGTCCCCGCCATAGTTTTCTAGTTTTTTCAAAGGTAAGATTGAACCTACGCCTGGGGCATGCTAGGTAAAATGTTTTAAAACTGGGACTGACCATGCAGTCTAGGCCCCGGACTTCCTATCCTCTCTTTTCTTCTGGAGTCTAAGCATTACAGGCCTGCTTATGTCCAGTAAATGAGTCTTCTCGCCTCCCTTCCTTTCTTCGATGCCTGGGACTCGAACTAAAGACCTTGTGCATGCCAGACAAGTGTGGTACCACAGACCTAAATCTCCAGCCTAAATGAGGGTTTTTATGGACACTTTTCTTATTCACAGTATAGGTATGGTGTTTTATTCTGAATGGAGGATTAGTTGTCTTCCTACTCAAGCTTGATTACCTGCATTGTTTGATCTCCTCACCCCACTGTTTTAAGGAATAATTAATAATAAAGAAATTACTCTGGTCAATTTTCATGGACCTTCTCCCATCTCGAATATAGCTAGGTTATTTCCAGGTCATACATAAAAACGCTAAATCTTTTTTAAAAATGAAAAGACGAGGTAAGACAAAACTTTTCTTACCCACTTAACTTCTGGAGCCGTTTCAGAACGAAATGCATGCAAACGTCTGGTTGGAACGACAGGAAATCCACCAGAGGGAGATGCTTGCTAGACGTGAGAAAGATACCCCCGCAAGGGGCCGGAGAGGAGCTTTGGGAGGAGCCGCCAGCTCGGCCCCGGATTCGAGAAGAGGCGAGGAGGCGTGTGTAGTTTGGCGCTGGTGTCAGGGAATAGCTGAAGGAAGCAGCTACGTTGGGCCTACTACCTGCGGCAGCGAAGCGTTTACTAGGTCTAACGCTAAAGGCCTGAGAATATTTACAAGCGAGAAAACGAAGCTCTCAACCTACTTACTGAGAGTCCCCGAAGAAATTGTGTGTGTGTGTGTGTGTGTGTGTGTGTGTGTGTGTGTGTGTGTGTGTGTTGTGTGTGTGTGTGTGTGTGTGAGTGTGTGTGAGAGTGGGTATTTAAAGGCACTTCCGCTTAGCAACCCCACGCTGTTGCTAAGGAGGGGCCGCAGCATGGGCGACCCGGAAGTGGTGGTCTGAAACTCACGCCAACTGCTGGGGCTTGTCCTATCAGGAGAGCGAAAATGCTCTGCGGCTCCGGGAGGTGGGTGGGCCCCGCATTAGTACTTCCGGCTTGGCTCCGGCCGCCCCTCAACTCGTCTTCCCCCTCCCCTCCGCCTCCTCGTCTCCCTCCCGCTCCTGGGAAAGCAAAGCTGCGGCTTAAGGGCTGGTTGAGAGAAGCAGTCGGCCCCTCAGGGAGGGAAGGGACCGCGCCCGCCCCCTTGGAACGGTGGAGCACCGCTGATGTAGGTAGGTAGTCTGGCTTCGACTGGCGTCTGAGAGACTGGAGTCTGAGGAGATGTGTGTGCGAGGAAGAGAGAGAGGGGGCTCTGGGGGCGCTTCGCTGGGGCGGGGCAGTGGACGCCGGGATCCCGGGTGGGGCGCGGGCCTGTCCGCGGAGGGCTGCGGGGGCGGGACGGAGGGACCGGGGTTCCTGCGTGCAGAGAGTTGCGGGTTGCGGATCAGACCCCGTCACAGGAGGCGCCCTTTCTGAAGCAGGGACTTCGGCCAATGCAGCTCGGGAGTTTCCCACCTGGAGTGAGTGCTCGCTCTGAAAAGAAGGGGGAACATCTTCCACGGCCGAAACCGGGCTATAGACTTGGCAATAGAGCTGGCTTGTGGTCATCCTGTGCTTCATCTTGTCGGCGTCCCGGACTCTGTTGGGACAGAGCCGGGCTTCGAGGGCTTGTAAGGGTTTCGTGTCTCCTGGGCACCGTGGAGCCGCCCTTGGCAGAGGTAGGGCAGAAGAGTGGGTAATGAGACCTCCCTCCACCCAACTTCCGTGCGCTTCCCCCGCTTCTTCCTTTTTATTGCTCTCTCGGCAGAGCGCCCTATAGAAGCGGTGTACCCCAAGTGGGTACGCTTCACGTCGTAAAACAAGAGTGTGGAACTGGATTTGTTGCCCCCGGATGGTATTTCGAATATTTGCAAAGTGCCACAATGGCATATTCTAGCAGTCTCCCAGACCGATATGTATCTGGTATAAATTTTCTTAGAAAATGCAATACTGGAAGGCATCTGACTATATTCAAACATAGCCTTGTAAATGAACATGCTTTTAAAAAAAACCACTAGAAAATCCATATTTAGAGGTCTAGATGAGACATGGTTAGGCAAGCCTTTTCCAACCTCTTTCTCACCTGCCAGTAAACCTGCTGTGGTTTAAACGAATAAGAAATATTATCTTCATTTTGTTTAAGTGACTGAATTGTAGGAAGTATAGTATATGTCTTAGAATAACGAGTGAACATTTGGAGAGACGAGAATCCCTTTCTGATGATTGAGCTGTCTCTTAATCTTTTAAGGAGATAATTATGTTCAAGTGGAAATATTGGCTTTGAGAATGTCTGTGCCTCTTACTAGTTGTTGACATTGGTCAAGTTATAGACTATAACAGAGTTTGAGCCTCTTCACAAGTAGGAATTAAATTCTAATCAGTGTCAAAAGAGAGGTGATTACTTATATAACTCCACTTAAAACAAGCACCTTTGAATTTCAAGATTGTCATCAGACAGCATAGTTAAGGAAGTCCAAGTTAGTGGAAGGGGATTTTTGAAAAAGAAACTGGATGGTAATATTAAAAGAGTATACGTCAGGAATTCAAGGGGTTTTTAGTGTGTGTGTGTGTGTGTATGTATTTATTTTCTTTTAATTTGAGACAGAGTCTCACAATGTGTCTCTGGCCTGGAAGTCATTCTGTAGACCATGCTGGCTTGCACTCAGAGAGATCCACCTGCTTCTGCCTCCTCAGTACTGGTATTGAGGCATGTGTCACCATGCCCAGCCATATTATTATTTCTTTTGTAGTTCTGGGCATTCAGTCCAGAAGGGTCTCATACATACTATGTTTCTCGTTATTGAGATACAACTTTAGCCCCTAGAAATTGATCATAAGAAGCATAAAATACAATTATCAATAGTTTCCTAAAGCATGTATTAAGTACAATACGTTTATTTCTTGAAATGACCAAAGTACATTTTATAGGTTTTTCTCAGATAATCTCTACACTGCTAGATATATCATGGATTGAAATAAAAAGCATTTATAAGTAACTTACTTAAATCTTAAATCATGTGTCTTTTTTTTAATTTTTTTTTTTTTTTTTTTTTTTTTTTTGACCAGGCTGGCCTCGAACTCAGAAATCCACCTGCCTCTGCCTCCCAAGTGCTGGGATTAAAGGCGTGAGCCACCACTGCCTGGCTTCATATGTCTTCTTAGTGGCAGTTAGACTTGGGGCATTAAATAATAATTGTAATTTTAAGATTAAGGTCAATATCACTTGCATGACTCATCTTAGTTAGATTATAATATTAACAAAATTTAATTTTGTTTTGTTATTTTGAGACTGTCTCACCATGTAAACTCAGGCTGGCCTTGATCATGAGATAGATACTCTTTCCCCTTGACTTTCCCCTTGAGATTACAGCTGTATACTAATTTACCTGACTAATAGAAAATTCTTATATAAGCTATAAAATAAATGAAAATATAATAAATTTCTCCCTTTAAATCATTAGTCATCAGAATGTAGAAATGATTTTTAGAAAATGAAATATTTATATATTGCTTATTTGCTTTGTGGATTTAAAATTATAGTTCTTTGTAGCCTGTTTGAGACAGGGTTTCTCTGTGTAGCCCGGTTGTCCTGGACTCCCTTGGTAGATCAAGATGGCCTTGAACTCACTGAGATCCACCTGTTTTTGCCTCCCAAGTGTTGGGATTAAAGGCATGTGCTTCCAAGCTCCTGATTTTTTTTTCCTATATAGCCTACTATGTTGGGCTTTCTTTTTGAAAAAGGTTTCACTGTGTAGCTTTGGCTGGTTCAGAACTTGTTTTGTATATCAGATTTACTTGAAACTCACAAAAATCCATTGCCTCTGTGCCTTGAATGCTGGGACTGAAAGCAGGCACCACCACAGCTTATGTTGGATTTTTTTTTTTTTTTTTTTTTTTTTTTTTTTGAGCCAGGGTTTCTCTGTGTAGCCCTGGCTGTCCTGGAACTCACTCTGTAGACCAGGCTGACCTCGAACTCAGAAATCCTGGGTTTTCAACTAATAGATTTTCTTTGTGGCTAGTAATTTTTTACATATACTTTATTTATGTACTTTTATTTTATGTGCATTGGTGTTTTTCCTGCATGTATGTCTGTGTGACAGTGTCAGATCTTGGAGTTACAGATAGTTATAAGCTGCCATTTGGTGCTAGGATTTGAACCTTGGTCCTCTGGAAGAGTAGTCAGTGCCTTTAACGGCTGTTTTTGGTTGGTTGGTTGTTTTTCGAGATGGTTTCTCTGTATAGCCCTGGCTGTCCTGGAGCTCACTCTGTAGACCAGGCTGGCCTCGAACTCATCCTCCTGCCTCTGCCTCCCAAGTGCTGGGATTAAAGGCATGCGCCACCACTACCCAGTTTAATGGCTGATCCATCCCTTTAGTCCCTGTGGTTAATAGTTTAAAGCATTCCAAATGTACTTTATATTCAAAGGGGCTGAGTATAGATAACTTCCTTTAATTTTTTTTTTTTACATGAAATGTAGGTACAAACTTCGCAATTCAGTGTGACCTTTTAGAGAGCTTTATATATGTTTTCATAAAATGGAGAGAAATTTTTTTAATAACTTTTGTTTAAGCAGAGTTGAAATTATATTTTACTCTAGTTGAGGCTTTTTGATGTGATGATTCAAATTTCCAAATGGCTTTTTAAAGGGAACAGTCTTAAATTCGTATCTAGGTTTTTTTGGCTATGTTTTTTGAATTGTTATTTTTCATTACTTAAAGTTGAGGTATATCGTCTTTGCTAGCTCTCAGCACTGCCTATCTTTTTACTTGTCTTTTTATAAAATGTTAACCTATTTATTTTCATATAAGGAATAGGATAATAGCTATTGGTGTGAAAAATTCTGCCTGAGTTATATGCCACAAATACAAAACCATTGGATATACTTTCCCTGGTGATCTCTTCCACAAGAAGTATGTGACCAATACAAAGATCTCTATAGTTATCAGTTGTGGAATTTTCTGGTGAGGGAATCTAAGAACTATCGACCCTTTCTTGAACAGCTCTTTGATGATGTTAGAAGTTTAGGCATGATAGAGGAGGTGTATGTAAGGAAACAGACACACATACATTTGTACATATGCACAATATAGTAGAATCATAGAATTGAGCACAATAGTTAACTATGTTGAGGTGCTGTGAAACCAGGAATAAAAGAGTTACTGTGAAAATGTTAAAAATAAAATAAGTTCAGAAACAACTTTGTTTTACTCTAACCAAGGTACTTTTTTTTTCCTGAGCTTGTTTCAATCTTACAGCGTATTTTATGGAGATGATTATTTAGCTTCTAATTAAGTTAAATAATCTTTATATTAAGGTTATTAATGTTTAATATTTATATTAATATATAAAAGTAATCTTTATAATTAAGGTATCTAACAGAATGTAGTTAGATTTTAATATCACTAGCTTTGATAGTAGCTGCTTCAGTGGCTTTACATACATAGTAGACTTTCCTGGAAGAACTTTGAATTTGTAGGATGATAGTTTTTTCTTAACAGCAACTCTATCCATTGGTGCCTAATATAGAATCTCTGAGAAGCTGGAAAGAGAAAAAGAGTGAATTTACTTGAGAATTACCATTTTAAGTTTTATAGATTTCTTATTTAGAAAGCTAAATTGGATTTTGACATTATTGGGATTGTGTTCAAGATGGACTCAGGGAAAAAAATTAGATGCCATCTGTTTCACATTCCTTCTTTCCTCCCCCTCCCATGTTTTGTGGCTTTGAATTCATCAGATTATTTTTCAAAAATACAAACCCTCAGTAAATTTAGATTATATAATATCAACTATCAGTGAATGTGTAACTGAATAATGTGAGTTATTGAATTATATAGGACAATAATAGGCAATGCTTAAAAGTCATTGCTGAATTATTTCATGTTCTCTGGATATGGGTTAACTTCTTGCATCTTTGCTACTATCTTTTTGGTAAATATTTTATTTTATTTTGGTTCTTGTGTTTTGAGACAGGTTCTCTTGTAGCCCAAGCTGCCTTCAAACTTGCTATACAGTCAAGGCTGGCCTTAAGGTTTTGATCCTCCTGTGTTATCTCAGTGCTGAGATTATAGTCCTGTGCTACCAGGTCTGGTATTGATAAGCTATTTTTGTCATTTCCTCTTACTATAGTTTAATTACTGGTGAAAGCTGTTTTCTTTTAAAAGGAGAATATTAGAATACATGGTGGTATTAGAATAAATCTTTATTAATTTGATAGATCACAGCTTGAAAAAAAAGTCTGCTCAGAATTTTTATTTACTGACAGACGCATTCCAATATCCTTATAGCAGTAGATTTTCCTTACCTATATACCTATGGTTTAGTTTTCATTTAAAATGTATACCCAATGCAATTTGGATTATTTTGGCAGGCAGTTGCTGGGCACATTTAAATCTAAATAAGTTCCAAGCAGGGGCAATTGGATTTCCAGAACTGAGAAAAAGCATAACTTTGCTGAGATTATAGTAGTTGATACTTAGCATGACCTGAGAGACCCAGGCATCTTTGATAGGCTGTAAAGGAGAGCTAATGTGGTAACCTAGAAATGGCCTGAAGAGAGAGCCATCTGGACAGAAGAGACTCATGCTTTGTCTCCAGCAGGAATGTTCTGGTGAGGTAGGAAGACAGATGGACTATCCCTACACCGCTGTAATCTGTCCCTCACTTAGAAGCTTCAAGT